TGTATTCAAAGAGTCCTTCCACCTCAGCCTCCCAAAGTGCTGGGATTACAGGTGTGAGCCACCACACCTGGCCTTGTATGTTGACTTTACATCTAGCATCCTTCATAAATTCACACATTCATTTTAATAATGAATGTGTAGATTCCCTGGGATTTTTTAAATGTATATAATCATATAAAGTTACTACTTTCTTCCCACTTTTTATACTATTTTCTTTCTTTATTGAATTACCTAGTACTTTCACTGTAATATTGAATAGAAGTGGTAAGAGGAGGCAGCCTTGCCCTGTTCCTAAACTTGGGTGGAAAGAATTTCATGCTTCACTATTTGAAATGATGTTTGCTATAGGCTTTTGTAGTCATTCCTTACTAGATTAACACAGTCCATTTATTTCTAGTTTGCTAAAAGTTTTGAATCATGAATTGGTATTGAATATATCAGATATTTTTTCTGCATCTATCAAGGTAATCAAAATGTTTTTCTGTTATTCCATTAATGAGATTTTCAAATGTTAAACTAACCTTTTTTATTTTTGGAATAAATTCCTTTTGGTCTTAACGTATTATCTTTTTTATATAACACTAGATTCTGTTTGCTAATATTTTATGTAGAACTTTTCATCTGTGTTCATGAGTGATATGTAGTTTTCTTTCCTTGAAATGTCTTTGTCAGCTGGCCTACAATTACCTTAGCTTAAGTGCCTTGGGTAACTCCTATCTGCTCAACTCATCTTCATCCTCCATCCGGATGAATATGATGGATATGTTTCATGGTAATGGCAAAAGAAAAGAGCTAGAGTGGAATCTTGCCAGTGCTTTTGCAGGCCTCTCCTTTGTGGCATCCCAGTGGCCAAATCAGCTCACATAATGGAACACAAAATTAGAGTGAAAGGGTACTACGAGGTGAAATACGAGGGCTTGGATTCAGGAAAAGGTGAAGAATTGAGACCACTGATGGAATGATTCTACCTTATTCTCAGGCAGGGAAGCATTTTTATACATGCAGATAGTTCACAAGAAATAACTAATATATAGTCAGAGACTCAAGACTTCAGCAATTGTATAAAAGTACATTTGTAAAGACCTAAAAACCTTGAAGAGAAGGGTCTGAACCACATCTCACCCAGGTTATGCTATTCTCGGCTAAGACATGACTCTACCACTCCCTTGGCCAATTTTGAAAATTGTTTCAAACTATTTATTGGAGGTGGAATTACTTTTTGTTGCTCCTAATGGGCACAGTCATGGAGTAACGTGACTAGGGCTCACCGGATGGGTCATGGCACTTGAGGGCAGCCATCCCAAAATTTTCAAATTCCATCTTTATGGGTAAAACATCTCTTGATTGCTAATACTGTTTTTTAAAGCAGGTTAAGCTAATAACTGTGAGTTAATTATAGCATGTCTAAATTGAGCCTATTTTCTTTTAGTAGATTTGGTGGTGACTAATACAAATTTGGCAACACTTAATATTAGCTGGGGTGTATTTAAAAAGCCAAAAACTTTTAGCATGTAAATCAAAACAAAGACATGACTGTTTCCTTCTGGGGTGATCTCTAGACTCTTGGTTTCTATCAGTTATTAAACTGTTATCTCCTTGGGGCATTGACAAAGTACTAATAAGTCATTGATTCCTTTACCACTTTTAATCAGAGTATCCAAAAAGGAGGTAATCACGTGTTTTTAATAAATTCCACAAATCATAAACCACCCAAAAAGCAAATCTACCATCCATATTAATATTTAGTCTTTCAACTTTGCCAGAGTGCAGCCCCAAATCTAAGCTACTAGTTCAGCTACTGGGCAGGCTGGGAATCAGGCCATGGAGCACTTCAGTGATTGCATGTTCAATGATAACAGCATATCCTGCACTGGGAGTGTCTCTGTCATATTTGAGAACCATCTACAAAGTGTATTAAATCAATTTTGACTAAAAGGGAGAAGATTCAAATCCAGGCATACTTAACTCCTGAGAGGATGCTGAACAGTCATGTGATTCCCCTTTATTCTTAAAAGGGAATAAAGTTGCAGGGTTACATTTTGAACAGCAGCGAATATGCAAAGCAGACATTACAGTTTCATAAGTGGTAAATTGACTAGTGGGGAAATGTCAGATGCTGCCTTGAAGTAGCAGAAACTTTAGAGACGCAGGACCCATAGAGTTAGTGGAGAGACAAGCACTATGGTGGAAGCATCAACACGTTTGGCCACTGCTACCACCTCATGCAAGTACAGAAGTATACCTTTGCCTCCAAATCAAGGAATGTACTAAGATAGGCAGAGAGAAGAGTTTGGTAGATTTAGGAAAACCCGGAGGTGGAGTTTGTTGCAAGAAGGCTTGGGATTACAGGTGTGAGCCACCACACCTGGCCTTGTGGAGTAGATAGCATTTTCTACTTTTGCATCACAAGGAAGAGTTTCAGAAATTATAAACTTAGTGAGCCCATGCAAAGGCTGAGCTATTGAGAAAAATCAGATATGCAATTACCTACATTCCTACAATCTTCTTAACCATCTTTTAATTTCTGTTCTTGGTAGAATTGAATCGCTTTATTCTGGCTGAAAACAGAAACTGTCCATCTGGTGACAGATTGTGACCAGAAAAATGTAGATTCTTAGCAGAGTTGAAATTTTTTCTAGATTCTTTATGTCCTTTTTCACCTAATTTGGATAAGAGGTATTTAGAGTCTTCAGTAAACTACTTAGATCAGAAAACACAGCAGTAAATCATCTAAATATTGAGTTGATATATATATATGATTATAAAAATTATATATTATATGATTACAAAAATTATATATATGTAATTTTTTAGACATTGAGAGAACTAGGAAGTGGATTCAGAAAAATCCCTAAAGCTTAACCATCCAGGTATATTTGTTTTCCCATGAAAAAGCAAATATTGACTGTTTTTCTATATATGTATACTAAGGAAGGCTACACACAAATTACCACTGTGAGATACTTGTTGAGAGAATGAAGGACAGGGGCTGGCGTGGTGGCTCACGCCTGTAATCCCAGCACTTTGGGAGGCTGAGGAGGGTGGATCATTTGAGGTTAGGAGTTCAAAACTAGCCTGGCTAACATGGTGAAACCCCGTCTCTACTAAAAATACAAAAAATTAGCCAGATGTGGTGGCAGGCGCCTATAATCCCAGCTACTCAGGAGGCTGAGGCAGGAGAATTGCTTGAACCTGGGAGGCAGAGGTTGCAGTGAGCTGATATCGCACCATTACACTCCAGCCTGGGCAACAAGAGTGAAACTCCATCTCAAAATAAAATAAAATAAAATAAAGTGAAACGAAGGACAGGACTGTATTCTAATGGTTGCATGATATTTCATTAGTTCTGTGATTAACCTCTAATGTTGGACATTTAAGTGTCACTATAATCAATAATACAGTAACAGACATCTTTGCACATAAGGCTTTTTCCATATAGATTGCTAGGAGTGACATTACCTAGCTAAGAGTATGAATATTTTTAGGGTTCTTAATATATATTGCCAAATCCAAGAGCAATTGTATTCTTGTATCAACAATAAATCAAAGTTTTTAATTTCATGCCTTATTTTGCCAACATTGGATTTTCTCATTAAAAGGGAAAGGGTTAATTTCATGGATGCAAATGGCATGTCATTGTTTTGACTTCTTTATTGGTGACACTGAATATTTATGTAGGTTGTTAATCAGTTAGATTTTCTCTTTTATGGATTGTTTATGTCCTTGGCGTGACACTATCAGGTGAGTAATATTTAAGTTGTTGTTAATGAATTATTAATTTATCATACTAGGCATAGTCCTCATTCACTCCATTTTTCTGAAAAATCGCTTCCCCTGTTATTCATTATAGCATTTTTAAGCTGAAATTTCAGATTTTTATGAAGTCAAACCTAAGCCTATTGATCTTCCATTGATTCAACACTTTCAGTTCTTCCTCATCCAAAGAATTGATTAAAATTTGCTTAAATATCTCATAGACATTTGTGGTTTTTATATGTGATTTCTAAACCCATATGAATTTTATGTAAGAAATTCCATGAATTCTGAAGTATATAAAACTGTTTATCCTTGCCTCCCCCACTATGTAGATTCAGAGTGTTCATCTTTTTGACTTATTATTTCTTCCTAACAGAGATAGCTAGTTGAATAAATGGATGATTTTGATGCCTTAATTTTATTTTTCTCAATATTAAGCCAGTAAACATTGCTCTGAGGGTAACATACTAATCAGTTTTAAGATTTTGTGTCATTTTTGTTGTTGCACAGAGATATATACTTATGTGTGTATATGTTTCAGAAAGGTACATTTACTGAAAGTTGGATTCATATAGTGGTATTAACTGTATTTTAAATAATAACTACTATTTGTTTTTCATTTTAAAGGTTACACATATATATACATATATATATACACACACACTCATAGGCACACATATATCTTCATTTTAAAAAATAAGAGAACAGATGAGCCAAAACAGTCTCCATATTGTTACCAGTTATTTAAAATTTGATATGTTTATATTTTTCTATCATGCATACACACAATAACACTGTATGCTTTTTGCATTTATTTGTTTACATAGTGCTTAGGTAGACTGTAATATGCAGATCACTCTATAACGATGTATCTATCCGTAATTAAATTTAAATAAGAACTCCAATATGAATTAGATTTAAACAAGAACCACATTAACTGTGAATTAATGATTTAGAACAAATTACTTAAAGTTAGTTAACCAGCTAATTTCCTTATCTGATAGCTTAAACAGTGTGTATTTACAAGAGATTCATCTGAGTAGCCAAACACACTTTGTGGACTATTTGAAAAATCACAGTGGATTAGAACTTGAAATTTGCATACCTTGTATTCCCTATATCTCCCCTAGAAGATGCTAGTGAGAGACAAATTAATGAAAGCAATAACCATTTTAGGTTCCCCCTAGGAAATAGCTTATGTTGGTGCCATGTAAATATGTAAGATATATGTTTGTCTTTTTTAGGAAGTCGTGTGGTTTCTAGATAAGAAACATCCAAACCACTATCGAGTCTACAATCTATGCAGTATGTACATTACTCTATATTTTGCTACTGTAGATAGAAAACAGTTTACTGTATGTAAGAAGATGATTATGCTTTTTACCTTGCATTTAATCGTAAGTATTTGGTGGTGGCAAGGAATGAATTTAAAAATCCCCATCTTGGACTGGCCCCATTTAGTAGAAGGAGTTAGCCCAGCAGCACAAAGTTCCCTGTGAAGGAGGAGGCTTTTGGCAGGACCAGTGAGGCTGGAGTGGAAGCAAACCATTTTCGTGAAGATCTGTTCTAGCGATATTAGGTTTAGGAAAATCTTTCTGTTTTTCCTGCCAGATTGTGTTATGAGGACATAGACAATTTAACAAATGAGTCCTGTGCCCCACCAGCAGTGGGCTGTGATGAGAGCAGAGCCCTAGATGGGAAAAAAGCAAAAAACTCTGTGGAAAATAGGTTGTAACCCAGATTAATACTCTGTCTCTCTTGATTTTTTCCTCTACCTGTATACTCAATAGACATTTTCAGGGGGCAATAATTTTGGTCAGCTACATTTGCCTCTTGTGTGGTTTCTAACTACCCTGCAATAATATAATGAATGGTCTGCTAGAAAGTTAAAAATTATACCTATTAAACAAAAATAAGTTGAGTTTAGGTTACATGAGATGGATAAACCACTACCATCCTTACGTTTTTGAGACCCTTGTGTTTATTTTAGAGTGGCAGGAGCAACTTGGAAAGCTCTTTTTGAAGATAGATAAGGAATTCCAATAAGATATGTTAATTTATTCATAACTTCATCGTTTATCCTATTATTCCCTATAGAGATATGACATACATATTATTTATTTTAGGTGAAAGAGCTTATGATCCTAAACACTTGCATAATAGGGTCAGTAGAATCATGATTGATGATCATAATGTCCCCACTCTACAGTAAGTTTTATGCTAAGTTTACTATCAGAAGAGGGCTAATTATATTGGGCTTGATTTTTTGAAAATATTTTAACTAAAAATCTTAAACTTGAAATCAGTGAGATGGTGGTTTTCACCAAGGAAGTAAATGAGTGGATGGCTCAAGATCTTGAAAACATCGTAGCGACTAGCTGTAAAGGAGGCGAGGTAATAACATTTTCCTTTTTATTTCTCCCTTTCTAAAGACGTGTAAATATAGATAAAGTACAAGAACAAGATACATATTGCTATTAATACATATTAACAATTGTTAGCATTTAAAAATATTAGCCCCAAGACTGAAAGAAGGGAAGGAGAAAGGAAAGAGGAGAGGAGGAAGGGTAGGAGACAGGGAGAGGATAAGGAAGGAAAGAAAGCAGGAAAAAAGAACTATGGAAGGTTGAGCATATTTTCCCTCGTTTTCCTAGTATTTGGATTTCTTTATTTTTGCTTCGCCAGTTTATATCTCTCAAAATAGAAACAGTCTTTAATTTTAGAATGTCAGAGTACTTTTGTTTTATTTAAGGCTGATCTTTTTAAATTTTTAAATTAACATAAAAATCGATATATTTATGATGTACAATATGATGTTTTGATGTATATAAGCATTGTGAAATGGCTAAATCAAGCTAATTAACATATTCATTGCTCCACATATTTTTGTGGTGAGAACTTTTAAAATCTACTCTCTCAGCAATTTTCAAGTATACATTATCATTAACTATGGTCACTATGTTGTACAATAAATTTCCTGAACTTATTCTTCCTGTCTAATTGAAATTTTGCATCCTTTAATCAACATCTCAGGCTGGGCACAGTGGCTCACACCTGTAATCCCAGCACTTTGGGAGGCTGAGGCAGGTGGATCACATGGTGAAGCCCTATCTCTACTAAAAATACAAAACATTAGCCGGGTGCGGTGGCATACACCTGTAATCCCAGCTACTCCGGAGGCTGAGGCAGAAGAATCGCTTGAACCCGGAAGGCAGAGGTTGCAGTGAGCCAAGATTGCACCATTGCACTCCAGCCTGGGCAACAAGAAGAAACCTCCATCTAAAAAAAATAATAATAAAGTAAAAACCAACATCTCCACAATCCCCCCACTTTTGTCCCCCCAGTCCCTGGTAACCCTGGTAACCACTCTACTCTCTGCTTCTATGAATTTGACATTTTTAGATTCCACGAATAAGTGAGACATGCAGTATTTGTTTTTCTGTGCCTGGTTTATTCCACCTAGCACAATGTTCTCCAGATTCATCCATATTATCTCAAGTGACAGGATATCCTCTAAGGCTGAAGAGTATGCCTTTATTTATACATACCACATGTCCTTTATCCATTCATCCATAGATGACATTTACATGGACTCCATAGCTTGGGTATTAGGAATAATGCTGCAGTGAACATGGGAGTGCAGATTTCATTTCCTTTGGATATATACCCAGAAGTGGAATCTCCAAATCATATGGTAGTTCTATTTTTATTTTTTTGAGGAATCAGTGCTGTTTTCCACAATAACTACTAATTTACATTCACACCAACAGTGTACAAGGGGGATCCCTTTTCTCTGCATCCTCACCAACTCTTCTTTTGTCTTTGTGTTAATGACCATCCTAACAGGTGTGAGGATATCTCTATGGTTTTAACTTGCTTTTCCCTGATGATTAATGATGTTTAGCATTTTCTCATATACCTCTCAGCCATTTGTGTGTCTTCTTTTGGGAAATACCTTGTCAGGTTCTTTGCCCATTTTCTAGAGAAGTAACTTGTTCTCTTGCTATTGTGTTGTCTGAGTTCCTTTTTAAAAAAAAATCTATTAACCTATTATCAAATGTATGCTTTGTAGATATTTTCTCCCGTTCTGTAGGTTGTCTCTTTACTCTATAAATGTTTCCTTTGCTGTGCAAAAGCATTTTAGTTTGATACAGTATCATTTGTCTACTTTTTCTTTTGTTGCTTATGTTTTTCAGTCATATCCAAAAATATCTTGTCCCAGACCAATGTCAAGAAGATTTTCACCTATGTTTTCTTCTAGTAGTTTTCCAGTTTCAGGTTTCACAGTTAAGCATTTACTTTGAGATGATTTTTGTATATGGGTGAAAAAGGTTGCAATTTCATTCTTCCACAAGTAGATATTCAGTTTCCCCAGTATTGTTTATTGAAGAGACTGTCCTTTCCCCATCTTGGATTCTTGGCACCTTTGTCGAACATCAGCTGACTATAAATGCATGGATTTATTCTGGGGCTTTCTATTTTGTTCCATTGGTCTACATGTCTGTTTTTGTTCCAGTAATATTTAAGGTTGTTCTTAAACTTTGTGAAAACCTTTTAGATTAAGGGAACCAACAGAGATGCTATTTCAAAAATTATACTGGAAATTTTATAGTGTAATGATACAAAGAAGTTGACATTGGTGGGGTTAAAATGGGGATAAAAAGGCCAATTTTGTAAATTCAACCAATTTAAGTTTAGTTAGATTTTCTCTCTTCAGGTTTAGGCTTTAACTAATCATCTAAGCATATTTCACAATTTTTGACAAACATAAATAATTACATTTTTAGTGGGCTCTAAATCAATTTTTATATCAAATTCCAGGAAAACATAACACTGTAAACTGACTTACATAATTCAGTAAAATCAAGTTTTAGTCTTATTGACTAGTTTCAAGCCCATTAGTTAATATACAGGTTCTGTGTTTAGCTGTATATTAGTTGATATACAGGTTCTGTGTTTAGCTCTACAGGTTGGAATATTGTGTATAAACTGGCAATTTACAATACCATAGTTAAATTAAGAATATAGAGGTTGAATCATTTGAAATTGCCAGTTTTAAACCATCTTTTGCTTTAAAAATGGCCATTTCACATTGCCCAACCTAAAATGTTATCATTCAGGAAGTTAGCATCAGTTTTCTATTAACTAATGCTAATTCCTTGCTTGAAGGAAAGCATTCGTTTCAAATTTGACTTTTTTCTTTTTTGCTGAGAGGGGGTTTACATTATTCTGTGTTCACATAATATTTTGTTGATTTTGTTAAAGGTTATTTAGAGGATTAACATTCAACTGGTATGTACCAGAGCAGCCTCTTTTTTAAGTGTTCATTCATATTAGTCTTGCTGTCTTCTGTGGTTGCTGCCTGCAGGTTACCAATAGTATCATGATAGTAAAAATATTTTATATTGATTTATAGGAGTTCGTCAAGAATCTGAATGCCAATTTTTCTTAGTATTGCAATTACATTCTCCCAACATGTTGCCTTTTAAATTTGATTGTGATTTATTTTGTTGTACAAAAGTTTGTAAATTTTTGTTTTGTTTTGAGACATGATCTCACTCTGTCACTCAGGCTGGAGTGCAGTGGCACGATCGGCTCATTGCAGCCTGAAACTCCTGGGGCTCAAGCGATCCTCCCATCTCAGCCCCTCTGAGTAGGTGGGACTACAGGCGAGCATCACCATGCCTGGCTAATTTTTGTATTTTTGGTAGAGACAGGGTCTCACTATGTTGCCCACACTGGTCTCGAACTCCTGGACTCAAGTGATCCACCCACCTCAGCTTCCCAAAGTGCTGGGATTACAGGCATGAGCCATCGTGCCTGGAGAGGAGTTTGTAATTTTGAAGGTAGTAAAATTTGTTCATCTATGTGTGTGTATGTATTTCATGCTTTTCTGTCATGTTTAAGAAATTCACCCCTATACTGATGTAGTGAAGATATTCCACATTTCTTCAAAAATATTCAAGTTCTATTTTTAATATTTGGGTCTTTAATCTAATTGGAAGTTGGGAGAGGTATTTTTTTCATATAGATAGCCAATTGTCCCAACACCATCAATTGCATGCTATTTTGTTCTCCATTAATTTGTAATCCCTCTCAGTAATATACTAAATTTCTATAAATATTCAAAACTGTTTCTAACTTCTCTCTACCACACTTTTGTAATATTTGTAGCTTTATAATGTAGTTTGATAAAGGCAGAATAGTCTTGCTCTCCTTGGAACTTTATTATTATGTTCAGTTTTAAAGTCATTTTGTGAAATGCCATAATAAAACGCTTTTAGGATTTTTGTTGGAACTACATTGAAATTATTGATTAACTTGAGAGAACTGACAACTTTGCAATATTGAGTTGTACATATGAATTATCTTGTTCCTTTTTTAATAATGTTTTATACTTTTTTCATCATGTCTTTGCATATCTTTTCAAAAATTCGTTCCTACACAAATTGTAACTGAAAATGGCATCTTTTTTTCTGTTACATTAGGTTGTTTCCAATTTTTACTGTGATAAATAATACGGCTTTTTTTGTTTGTTTTTATCACCCAGGCTGTTTGTATCAGCCTGGGTTTGTTTTTTCACCCAGGCTGGAGTGCAGTGGCATGATTTCAGTTCATTGCAACCTCTGCCTCCGGGGTTCAAGCAACTCTGGTGCCTGAGCCTCCCAAGTAGCTGGGATTACAGGCATCCACCACCACACCCAGCTGTATTTTTAGTAGAGATGGGGTTTTGCCATGTTGTCCAGGCTGGCCTTAAACTCCTGACCTCAAGTGATGCGCCTTCCTCTCCCTCCCAAAGTGTTGGGATTATAGGCATGAGCCACCGCGCCTAGCCCAATAATACTGGTTTTAAAAATATACGCTTCTTGTTGCACATGTGGCCACATTTTTGTTGAGTATATACCTTGGACTAAAATTGTTCTGTCTTAGGGTAATGAATCTTGAACTTTACTTGATAATGTCACCTGTTTTCTAAAACAGTTGTACAAATTTTTACTCCACTGGTATTGTATACTTCAAGCATCCCATATCTTCCCCAATACTTGCAATTCTGAGTATTTTTATTTTTAGCCTTTGGGTGTTTGTGTGATGGCATCTTACAGTGGTGATCATTTGCATTTCTATAATTACTAAGAAAACTGAGGAAGTTTCTTTAAGATTATTAAGTATTTGGATATCCTTTTTTGTACAGTAAATTTTAAATTTTCTTAACCATTTTTTCCTGGGTTATTCATCTTTTTTCTCTTGATTGTAGGAGTTCTTTATGTATTCTGATTTCAATTATGTTATTGATCATAAATGTATTTCAAGAAAGCTTTTCTGCTCTGTGATTTGCCTTTTCTCTCTCTCAGGAGTATCTTTTGGTTGACAGAGGTTCTTAGTTGGATTACCGTCATAGGTACCATGCTCTCCCTTTATAAAGTTTGTGTGTTTGGGTCCTGATTAAGACAATTTTCCTTGAGTTTAAAGGACATTTTACTACTATATTTTCTTCTAGAAGGTTCATTCCTTTTATAATTGATTTATGTGTGTGGTGTGAGGAAGGCATCAGGTTTCATCTTTTTCCATGTATGGCTATCCAATTATTGCAGCACACTGGTTGAGAAGATTTTCATTTCTTTACTACCTTGCAGAACATGAATCTGTTTCTGACCTTTCTGTTCTGTTCATCGATTTTTCATCTGTGTGCCAATAGCACAACTATCTTATTGTGGCTTTCTAATACGTCCTCATTTCCAGTCATGGAGTATAATTATCTTTTCCTTTTTCTTCACAATTGTTTGGGTATTTTAGGTCATCTACATTTCCATGTAAAGTTTGGAATCAACTAGTCAAATTACACACACTGGATAGAAATTTGTTTGGAATTACATTGAATTTATAGCCTGGGGAGAATCGAGTCTTTACAGTATCGACTCATCCAACCCATGAACAGAGGTATTCTCTCGTTGAGTTAGGTCCTCTTCAATTTCTCTTTACAATGCTTTCTCATTTTCTGTATAGAAAGCTTGCATATTTTTGGCAAGATTTATGCCTAGATTTTTTTTGTGTGGTTATTTAAATGATATCCCTTTAAAATGTTTATTTTCTAATTTTTTTTGTTGTTTTAAATGCAGTTCATTTTATTTATTCATCTTGCAATTAGCAACTTTCCTAAA